TTCATCCTCTTGCCTCCTCTTCCTCACTTCTTAAGGTCCCTGGACGAAGTGCGTTAGATTCATTCATTTAATTCCCCTTTTCATTCTCCGACTCTTTTAGATTTGCATATAAGGCCAGACTACGATATCGCTTTTGTGGTTCAATCTGATCAAGGAAACGTAGATAAGAGTTTTTGTTCTTACGCATCTGTGTTTTTCGGCTGTGCTTCGTCAAATTGGCCACGTGGCAGATACGATGGGCCAAACACGGAGGAGCATATCGGATTCTGACAGGCGTTATCGGATTGCGCACCATAACAAATACCAACATTTCGGGATTCGGTGGCAGACCCGGTTGTCGGCAGTCGTCGCGCACACTGGGACATCTGTCATCCCCCATTGCTCCTGTTGATCAAAAACCTGGTTATTTGCTGTGTGGACCAGGGGGTGTGGAGTGGAACGCCAAGGTGCAAGCTCTACCGCGCCGTTCACTTGCGCCCTCCCCCCCCATCTCCGGTCTTCTTGATTCTGTCTTGACGCTGGGTCCAGGTGGGGGGTGGGGGAGAGTGCGGCAGATGCTGCGTACGTCTACATTCATTAGAAACTAAATCATGCGCTACTTATCGTCCCTGCTCCGCCTTGCTGTGAAGCACACGGTAGACATCGTCGTCGAACGCGACGGTCGAAATATCGTGTTTCTTGCCTATTGCTCAGCCTTCGATACTGTCCCGCGCCACTGCCTCATTGCAAAAACATACGCGTACAGCCCTCCTGGCTAATTTTTTTATCTCAGATATTATTTTACTTGCCGTACTCACTTTGCCCAGTCTGGCAAGCGGAAATCTACTGTGGAATCCTTCAAGGTTCCATTTTATTCCCCCCTATTCTTATTTCGCACTGACAACATAGGATTGCCTAATGATTGCCTGCATGCTAAGTGTGCTGAAGATATGGATGATGGTCACCCTCTCGAAAATCAGACGCATTTCCACTTTTGAAGGCTGGTCTTCTACTTGACAGACCTCTTCCATTCCTGCATCCTAGAACATCCTTCCTAACGAGGAATCCTCGTTCCAGTCGGTCTGTTGCCTGATGTGTAAACACTGCTGCCTCGACCGACATGTTTAAAATGCAGTCCAACACCTCCGCCGACTGAATTTTTCGTAGAGGTTGGTTATTCTGTGCTGGTCCCAAGTGTAAGCGCAATGTAGGCATTGCAAGTGACGTGGGCCGAAATCGTCGGTGGGAAAGTACCCACAACTGAAACGGAAAAGGACAACCTGATGTTTCGGTCTCGAAGTAGGGTAAGCTTCAGGGTTTGGGTTAGTGTCAGGCTGAGAATCGAGTCTAGGGTTAAGGGTTGTTTTACGCCCGTGTGCAACCCCAACTCCAAGTGGAGTGAGAAGGTGGCTGACGGACTCTGAGACGTTCCTCACGTACGGAGACGCTCGTCAAAGTTTAGGGCCGGTTGAATTTGGTTGCTGGCTTTGTCTGCATACGCACTGGTTGACAGGGTTGTGCGGGTAGCCAGTGGCTCTCAGTACCCGTCGAAGATATTGTAAATCAGCAACCTTGTCTTCCGTTTCACTGCATTGTGTCTCAACGCGCCAGTATAGCGCCCTTGTGGTGAGGTACCGGACTAATTTACCTTTGACAATTTAGTCCCATTTTCTTCGACCGGATTGCTTGTTTGAATGTGACGAGAAACTGCACACCTGTACAATCCGCTTTGCTGGCCTGCTTAGCTGTCGCGCTCTGCTGTCAGGTTACTTAACGTTCAGAATGTCTATATTATTCACTGCTCAGTTTTACTTGCTGCTTTTAAGGCTAGGGCCTCGTGTGATATAATTTGTTTGTTCGTGAGAACATTACCTTCAACGACAATGGTGACTCCCGCCGTTAACGCAGGCTCTATACCTTTCTGTCCTACTGAATAATATTTAACTTTCTACTTGTTTGAGAAATTCTATTTCCATTTACGTCTACTTTTCTCGCGAATTTTCTCGACATTTTACCATATCTGTCTTGATTATTGTCTCCCCCGCAACCAACTACTTGATGCCCCCGCCCAGTCCCTTCATGCCATCAATTTTACTTTGCCTGAATTCTGGCAACACGCTCCAGAACTTTACTTCATCCGCATAGAATCAGCCTTTTATTCCGCCAACGTTACCAAGGTCCTCCCCGCTAGTGTCATCTCTCAAGTTCAGTCCTTGCTAGCTAATCCTCTTGTAGATGCACCCTACTCCACGTTAAAGGCAGAAATTCTTCGACTTAATTCGTCTACTGTGGAATCCTTCAAGGCTCCATTTGATTCCCCCACCTATTCTTACTTCAACCTAGGATCGCCTGATGATTGCCTGCATGTTAAGTACAGTAGATGTGCTAACTCATTAAATGTCAACCAACATTTCGAAATGCGTTCATGTTTCGAAAAGATAAATTAAGTAGTGTTGTAAAACTAATTATGGTGCAGCATAAATCTATAATGATCCAGTTACCTCAGAGTGTCGGCTTTCGAAAGAACTTATTTTCGGCTGCATGCAAGATCTATACTCTGCAAAAAATGACTACTTATGTAGCATGAAATTTTCTCATTTTTTTTCAATGCTCTTGAAAATTCAATTATGTTTCATGGAACACATGAATAAAAATATTCATTCTTATACTTATTCGGTAGAAAATCACGTCTTCTTTCAATTTCATATTCAAAAGAAGAGTATAATTCGGTTTAAAAAAACTTTTCTAATTCCCGAATAATTTTGGACCCGACCTGCTGTTAGACGTACAATCAGGGTTTCAAAACTACAAGCTGTATCTTTTCCGTGTACGGAAAACCATGCATTTCTCTACGGTGTTATGAGGAGACCATATGAGGTTCATAAAATTAAGCAGTGGATTTGAGCAATATTGTTAACTTTGCAAGCCACATTCGTAAATGCCGATACATGACGTTTCATGAACGGCCATTTAACGGTATTAAAAAATCTCACAATTAGAAACGTTTTTGAAACCGAACTATGCTCTTCTTTTGAGTATGAAATTGGAAGAAGACGTGATTTTCTACCAAGTAAAAAATGACTATTTTTATGCATGTTTTCTATGAAATATAATTGAATTTTCAAGGGCATTGAAAATCAATGAGAAAATTGCATGCTACATAAGTAGTCATTTTTTGCAGAGTATAGATCTTGCATGCAGCCGAAAATAAGTTCTTTCGAAAGCCGACACACCGGGGTAACTGGATCATTATAGATTTGTGCTGCATCATGATAAGTTTTACATCACCACTGAATTTATCTTTTTGAAACGAGAACGCATTTCGAAATTTTGGTTGGCATTTAATGAGTTAGCACATATGCTGTAACTGCAACAAAGGTGAAATGTGATTTAACCTGTTTGGGACAGTTGCGAAAATGAAAACAACAAAAATATGCTGCACTTTCATATGACCAAAGTCAAAAGAATACTATGTTTTAGAAGCGATCGTCTGCAACTAGCGGAAGTGAGTGTATCATGTGTGCAGTTAAGGCAGTCGAATCGACCACTTTTAGCTGGCAGATTTATAATACTATGGAATTTTCCATAATGTGCCAGGCTTTGCAGGCTTTCATATATTTGTCATTTTGGATTGTTCCAGCACTGGATAAACAAAACCGAGGCGTTGAGTAAACCTCCAGGGCACTTTGTCCGTACTTTTTGGTCCTAAGAATCCTACCCCGACTGCGGATGCTTGTCACATTAAATTGCAATGAACAAGGCAGCTGATAGAGCACCGTCGACGATGTGTTTACTTTTCTGCGCTTCGGAATTCGTGCAGAAGTCCATCATCAGAGATAACGGCAGCAGTAGCATCACAGACGGTAGTCAAAGGATACTTTAAACAAAAGAAGACGAAGGCACGATGACTGGGAGGATAGATTTATTGGCTTCAGCTTTCGAACTCGAACTGGAGTTCATCATCAGAGGCTGCTAGAGTGCAGCAACTTATGAATATTTATATCGTTGTGCAGTAAGGGGAGGGGGACTACGTCCGTGGGTTGGTCTGGTTTGTGCCGCCTGGCCCAAAATGCTCCCCCGGCGTGGTGACGCCGTTTGTACTTCGCGGTGATGTGAGCTGCACCACCTGGCCGCGTGGGCGAAGGGCGTGATAACACGAAGAGAAATCAATGTGTCTATTGATAGAGTTAGTGTCCGACACCCACGCCTCCAAAAGTTCTCGCGCCGTTTTGCTGCTGGCTCGCGCCAATATCCGTGTGTTGGCGAAGTCGAACTCATGGCCTTCCTCCAGCGTGTGAATGGCGACTTGAGATAGTGGGTCACCTCTCCGAACGGCCCCTTTGTGCTCAAGTATTCGTGGGTCGAGACGTCTTCCTGTTTGGCCTGTGTAGTGGCAGGGAGAGTTTTGGCACGGGATTTGCTAGACTACGCCCGACTGCTCACCTGTGTCTCCAGCCGATCCTTTATTTTCATGATCCTGCTACGCATGTTAGCCGCGGGATGATGAGCCAACGATCAGTGCCACAGGTTTGAAGTTGACTGCCCAAGACTCTGTTCTACTGGCACTGTCATCTCTGACGATGGACACCTGCACGAATTTGAGGTCGAGAAAAGTGAAATCCCATTTCAGCGCCTCATCAGTTTCACTGGTTATCATTCAGAGCTTCTTACCCACGATTCGAATATTACATACTTTACACTAAACGGTATCTAGAACGTCATATGCTGTTTTAGCTGTGAGTGTATGAGACTCGTGCCCTCAAACGGGCCATGTGGTAGAGGCGCTGGACCAACACGGAGGTCATAGCGGATACTGGCAGGCATTATCAGAATGCGCACCATAAGAAATGCCAAAATTCTGGGGTGCGGTGGCAGACCCGGTTGCTGGCATACGCCGCGCTCACTGAGACCCCTGTCACTCCCTCCCGCCATTTTTGAAGCTTTCGAAATCATACAGGAGCCTATCATCAGAGATGATAGAGGCAACAGAACAGGCGGTACGCACAGTGGGTACTAGCCAATCAGTAGTCGGCTAAGCAGGTCTGGAGGTGACTGCGCAGGGCTCTGTAATTCGGCAGGCTGATACGTCGACGGACTGACTCCTCCTCCTCCTCCGAGACCCAGGCTTCAATCAATTTTCGCTTTTTTTTGTTTTCGACGTTGGCGATTGCTTTGGTGGCTGCGAAGTCAAATTCGCGCCCCTCTTCGAAGGTGTGGTCAGCCACTTATGATTATTAGTCACCCCGTCGCGCAGCCAGCTTATGCTCGTATATGCGCGACTCGAGCATGCGTTAAGTTTGACCCGCGTAATAATGATTGCAGGTTTATCACAGGATACAACAAAACATTGTTTAGGTCCATTGAGCAGGCTTGAAAAAAAACCTTTAAGGACAAAAAATGTAGAATTTTCCCGTGTTCCTTTAGTAGAAAACACCTGAAGGCTCGGTTGACTCAAAATCAGAAATGAGGATTTCTCTTCGTATTCGTAAGTCTCGGCAAATAAGTTGCCTACGAAGAGCCTGAATGTGGCATACTAATCACAGCCACTGGAAAGAAGTTGATCCTTTTCTAAATCTGTGTCATCAAGCACCTGCTAAGCAAGGATTCCACGAATTCACCACAGATATTCCTATGTCGTATGAAGATGGCTCGGCCGCGAGCAGCCAAGTCCACAGTTGTCATCAGTGCGTTAATGGTTGGTGTGACAAACTTTCAGCGATCTATTCCCATTTGCATGCTTCTCACTTGGGTAAGTACTCTGTTCTGACAAATTCTATGAACAGAACGGAGAGCGTTCGCCTACGTGTTGTGGGTCGCCGAGACCATGACTCAGGCGGTAAATGACTCATGCGGTTGCTACTTCTCGCGAGACTTCAGGCCTCATTCAGCTCGAGGGTGTGGCTGGGTCCCGTCGAATAAGCTGCGACATGAGAGATGGAGAATCCCTCCTTGCCGGTACTTCGTGTTCAGGCACCCGCGTCCAACGCAGTTCCTTCAACTTATTGACATTTCTGTCTGAAGGTAATCAAACCAAATCCGATTAAAAACTGGGGGGGGGGGAGTTTCTGTCGTGATAGTGCGTCTTCCAGCCTTACTAGCTGGCGTCTGACGGTTGCCCAAATCGGACAAGCATGAGAAGGCTGCTGAAGACTACTAGCTGATGCGTGAGGGCGCTCGGAAAGATTTCTTTTGATTGTCATTTTTTTGCCTACATCGGACGACCAAGTCACGCTGGTAGTTATCTGCTGGTTGTCTTCCCCCCTTCAACGTCCTGCAAGATGGCATTAAAACATTCATCTGTTGTCAACAACTGATCCTGTCCGATGAACCCGAAGGTATCATTCTCATTTCAGGCCAACAATTTCGATCCGTGGGGTTAGAAGACGCATGATTCCAGCCTTTGCAAGACTGCTGCGACTGTGAGTTCAAACACCGGCGAACCAACTGGAGTACCTTCTATCTGCTCGTAGACTTTGCCACCAGATGATACGTTCTGAGAAAGAACCTCGGAAGTTGGAGATTTGGGACATGCTGCACGGTAGTAGTTACTGAAGTGCTGTTCGATGGTCAGGACTGCCAGATTCTGGGGAGCACAAATTAAAATGAACGAAATGTCAAAATATAGCATGGACTCCTGCGGCAGAAGAACTACCACTTCAGGTTTCTCTAAGGACTGGGTCGTCGATATGACTGTGGTGTCTGGATCAACTGTCAGAAAGCTGAGATACTGTAATGATCAACTTTGCCGACCATACTTTGATTGACATTTTAGTTGTTTAGCAATATCGCAGCAGAAATATCCATCGTCACGTATTTCTTCGCGTTTCGGTGTCCTTACGGAGCAGAATTTTCAATGGGAGCAGAACTCAGAAGATGAAGATGCGATCACCGGAACAAGAAATTTATTTGCCTGACGTTTCGGATTCTCACTCGAATCCATTATCAGAGAAAGTCGCAGACAAGGATAATGGTGGCACAAGGAGTGCAGTATTTATAGCACGTGGCCGCCGTGGTAACATATGCGCACTGTAATTAACAGCTCTAGCAATCACCGCTGGGGTCGTAATTGATGCGATGGTGGTTTGTCAGTCCGCGTCCGAGTCGCTAATGGCCGTGCAGGATGCTGGTGTAACGATTTCTCGGCAAATGGGCTCCCTGTCACTGGAATAATTGCTCGCCAGCGCCCTCCCCACGTGACTGATTGCCCTGTTTAGGGGAAATCTCAGCACGGAATATGGTAACGGGAGGTCATTGCGCTTGTTGATGGATTGCGGGCCTGAGAACCATGACTGGAGCAGCTCGCGGCTCACGCGGTTGTCACCCCTTGCGAGGATTTCGGCCTCTTAAAACTGGAAAATATGGCCTGGTCCCGTCGACTCGGACGCGGACTGACAAGCCACCATCGCATCGATTACGTGAAGACTCAATGCAGTCCAATAACCACGTATCATGAGCTATTCTAGCATCCTATTGGTTCATCTCAACACTGTCTGTTGTGCGGGCCCCTGCTACCGATAATTACAAACCCAGACGTGTATATCGTCGTTTTTCTGCAGTTTTATCATGCAAGTGTTGACAGTTTAGGTTCCACTTCACTGGAACCCGCACTGCCCCACAACAGTCCGTTCTATGAATGCTACCACTTCGCTTAATTCTGTTCTTTGGGATAGGCTGAGGTTGGTCATGCCACCAGGGGGCATGCAACCAAAGCTGCTTCAGTTTATTTGAGCCTTCTCTCACAGAAAAATTACCGGAATGTCTGCGAAAAGTAGAAAGAATGGAAACTTCGACGTCACTTCCCGCCTCCGCTGTGCATTTACATCAATTCTGTTTTAGTACGTGATAGGCCGAATTTTTCAGCCCGCACTGACGAAATACTTCGACATTGCAGGGCAAAGATGATCGGATCAGGGTTCATAAATTCATACTTTACCACAGTGTACAGTGAAAAAAGATAGATTAATTATCAGTTCCTGTTATCTTGGGACCGAATTTTTTAGCCAGAGAGGCACAGAATCAACCAAATGAGGGCGCTATGCTAGCGGATACCTTGCAGGCATGGGACAGTTAAACCGTCGAGCCCGACGGTGTCCATCGTGTGCTCACAATAGGTTGAGGACAAGGACGGTGACTTGTGCGTGAGTTAGATTATAGTGATAGCAGGCTTGCGAAGCGCCTACCGCACCCTCTCCTCCTTCCCCATCTGGACCCGATGTCAAGGCGTAGTTAAGAAGACCAGAGGCGGGAGGGGGCACAGGTGGCTGGCACGGCCGGATCCGCGCCCCGGGCGCTCCACTTCACACCCTCTGGTCCACAACAAACACTTGACCAAGATTTTAAACAACAACATCACCACAGTGGGTCAGAAATACGAGGATGACTGGACCACCATGCGCGGGCGCATCTATCGGCTGGAAATCAGGTGTCAGAGCACTGCCCGCGTACACCAGGCTGCGAGGGTCATGCTTCGCTGATACTGGCATAGCACACGCTTACAGACCTTTTGACCTAGAAGGGCGGCACGTGATCCTGCATATAGCCTGGGCCGTCAACATTCAAGGTTAGGTAACCAAACAGTCATCGACTGAGAGGCGCTACCCATAGAATATACACACACCCACTCCTCATATACATGAGAGTGTCACAGATCGCTGGAGAAGGAGCCGCTTCAGCCTGGGTCTCAGTCCAGCACTCGACACAAACGACAGTTCGACCGTCGATTTCGACGATGTCCACCGTGTGCCCCACAGACTGCATTGTGAGAGCAGGGACGGTGACTTGCGAAGGGGTTTATAATGCCGGTAGACTTGCGCTGCATCTACCTACACTCTTTCCTCCTCCCCCGCCTGAGCCCGGTGTCAAGACAGAGTCAAGAAGACCGGAGACGGGAGAGGCCGCAGGTGGATGGCTCGGACGGATCCTCGCCTTGGCGCTCCACTCCGCACCCCCTGATCCACACACAAATGACCAGGATTTTGACCACAAAACAATGGGGTGGTGGCAGTGGTCCAGTTGTGCGACGAATGCCGACAACAGGGTCCGCCAGCGCACCCCGCAAATGTTGGCATTTGTTATAACGCACAGATAACGCCTGCCAGAGTCGGATGTGGCCCCGTTTTGGTCCAGCGCATCTAACACGTGGCCCGTTTAGAGGGCACACTCCACACAAACACCCACACACACACAACCGGACGGACTGCGTAAACTGAGTTGGGACGATAGTCGGCTCCCGTCCGAGCCACGGCGCTTGACGCACCGTGACAGTCTCAAACTCCTATCACACATGCAGCTGGGGGGCCGCATATGGAGGAGTCGAGACGCACGCTTCTAACGTGCGTGGGAGATGGAGTCTGCCAGTCCACACAAACAACTGGGCTGACTGCGCGGACTGAGTTGAGGTGTCAGTCAACAACTTTCCAAGCCATGGCGCTTGGCGCACCGTAACAGACTCAGGCTCACATCGTACATGCAGCAGGTGGACAACATGGAGAAGGACCCAACAAAACACACTTCCCGCTTACGTGAGCGTGTTCACGTTGAACGGTGATGGGTGATTTTGATGTGTGTCGTAGGTGCTGCTGTGATGGTATGCTGTGGCCGACGGTGGTGGTCCACCGCAGGTTTTCACGAATGCACATGTGAACTAGTAGACTCATGCGGTGACTGAATGTGCGAGGGCAACGCGGGAGGTGGAGGCGAGTGCGTCTGGTGTATGTGGGTGTTTCAAGCACTGGTGCACCAGTTTCCCTGCGGTGGATTTGCAAGTGACCGACCTGGCCGATGTGTGAGGCGAACGTGCGATCGCAATGAGGACAGGTTGGGACCGAGTCCGAATTGCTGGAGAAGGTTGAATATCTTAAAAATCAGGAGCAGTCAACCCTCCTGGATTTACGACTCGCGATGTAGAAACAGGGTGGGCATCGACCTCCCCTACGAGACATTTGTATTTATCGTCTACCTGAAAACCAAACGCTGACAACAGTGCACATAGGAGACCGACTAGGATGCTCGAGATATTCATTTAACTAGAATCCAACTGCCACAATTCCGGTTCGGTGTGCATTGGCTTCCCCGTTTTTTGCATGCATTTTTTGGTGAAGTTGGCGAGCTCCTGCCGTGCCAATAACGTCTCGGGAGGCGTCGACCGGGACAGGAGTTTCATGCAGACTGAAGACGACAGTACAGCTTCAATGTATGAGGCCAAGTGACGCGATACGAAAGATCTGGATCTAAGCCGCGAACTTACAGTGGATGGGCTAACTCATGAAATGTCAGCCAACATTTCGAAATGCGTTCTCGTTTCGAAAAGATAAATTAAGTAGTGATGTAAAACTTATCATGATACAGCATAAATCTGTAATGATTCAGTTACCTCAGGGTGTCGGCATTCGAAAGAACTTATTTTCGGCTGCATGCAAGATCCATACTCTGCAAAAAATGACTACTTAAGTAGTATGCAATTTTCTCATTAATTTTCGATGCTTTTTAGAATTCAATTATATTTCATGGAAAACATGCATAAAATATTCATTTTTTTACTTATTCGGTAGAAAATCACGTCTTCTTCCAATTTCATACTGAAAAAAGAGTATAATTCGGTTTTAAAAATCTTTTCTAATTCACGAATAATTTCTAACCCGACCTGCTGTTACACTTGCATTCAGGGTTTCAAAACGCCAAGCTGTATGTTTTCCGTGCAAGGAAAACCATGCATTTCTCTACGGTGTTAAGAGGAGACCATATGAGGTTCATAAAATTAGGCAGTGGATTTGAGCAATATTGTTAACTTTACAAGCCACATTCGTGAATGCAGATACATGACGTTTCATGAACGGCCATTTAACGGTATTAAAAAATCTCACAATTAGAAACTTTTTTAAAACCGAATTATACTCTTCTTTTGAGTATGAAATTGGAAGAAGACGTGATTTTCTACCGAATAAGTAAAAGAATGAATACTTTTACGCATGTTTTCCATGAAATATAATTGAATTTTCAAGGGCATCGAAAATCAATGATAAAATGTCATGCTACTTAAGTAGTCATTTTTTGCAGAGTATGGATCTTGCATGCAACCGAAAATAAGATCTTTCGAAAGCGGACACACTGGGGTAACTGGATCATTATAGATTTATGCTGCATCATGATTAGTTTTACAACACTTCTTAATTTATCTTTTCGAAACGAGAACGCATTTCGAAAATTTGGTTGACATTTAATGAGTTAGCACATCTACTGTATGTCTCCTTTGTTTGCACTGAGGTTTTACCTCCTCTATGCGTTTTCATGTGCCAAAAAACTAAACGCAGATGGGTTTACCGCAAATAAGCTTTTGGGAGAAAAATTTGTACACAATAGTATGCATTCTAGATTTTTTGGCCGATTTTTAAATAATTCATATTGACCCAACTGTGAAATACTTGACGCCTCGGTGGGATTCGAACCCACGCAGTAAGGAGAAGGCATTAGTACAACCAACGCTCTAACCACCTGAGCTACGAGGCCCCGCCGGGCGACGCGATTTTAATCACATTTGGGTCAAGTTTACCCATCCAACCTACTGCAACGTCTGGACTAACCAAATCTGATACAGGAAGCTGACTGCCCAAGCAGAATTTCCCAAGTAATTCACCTAGACTCCACCAGATGACCACCAGGCTCACGTAATTCATAGATTTTTGACAGATTTTAAAATAATTCATATTAACCCAACTGTGAAAAACTAGATGCCTCGGTGGGATTCGAAACCACGCAGTAAGGGGAAGGTTTGAGTACAGCCAACGCTCTAACCACCTGAGCTACGAGACCCCGCCGGACGACGCGAGTTTAATTACATTTGGGTCCGGCCGGGCCTCGTAGCTCAAGTGGTTAGAGCTTCGCCTTACTGCGTGGGTTCGAATCCCACCGAGTCTCAGAGTTTTTAACAGTTGCGTCAATATGAATATGCATTCTCTACAAATATTTCGGCGGTCTTTAGATTTCCACCTTTTCGAAACATAAAATTTTACATTCAGCCTGGATTGCCTGTCATACCCGTTCGCTGATGAGACTATTGCCGTTAGCTTGCGCCTCCCTTGCATCTGTCGCCAATACTTAGGGAGCAAGAGGAGAGAGAGACAGTTGGGAATATTTGGGGGTAAAATGCAGTGTCATTGCGTCTGATCAATACATATTTTCGACAAACAGCCCTTCAAGCACTGTAGTCTAGAAACAAGCGGCAGCTACCATAAATCGTCAGTTGCCCCATAAAGCATGTACTTGTTGCCACTGGGAATCCCATCGAGCCCTACGGCCAAACAACAGATCCAATTTACTAAAGAGAAAAAAATAGTCAGGTTCCTGCTTTCATGCATAAGAGAACTGCTCTGTGAATGATATTTCGATTGGGGACTGAACGTAGCTAGTTCAGCGCCCTACGATAAAACGGAACAATGCATATTTCGTCTACCTATCGGCGTAGAACGGGAATGGCTCTTAAAAAAGTATTCCACAGTAATTTCCCGTGGCAATTTACAAGGCGAGAGGGTCGTGACTCAGTGCAGGGATGACTTATTTAATATTACATGATTAAAGGTTACTCGGGGTCCGGAGTTATTTGTAGTCGGCCGTTGGCAATATGTTAATCAGAAACGGTATCGGTAGCACGGTCTGAATACTTGCTGTTTCTCGTTATGCGCAACGCAAGTAGAACATGGAATCGCCTCTATCTCCTTCCCCTCCTCAATTAGGTTGGATGAGGGGGTAGCATCCAAACGTGACTTGTTATTATCTACACATACTATCATTTCCTATTTCGTTACTAGATTGTCCGAAGTTTGTCGTACCGACCAATCTTTATAAATGGGACTTTTTGAGGAAACGTCTAACTCTTGGACGTGCGTTTTCGATTACTGATTTTAGCGGACTAGACTTTTGCTTTAGTGATCAAATGCTACTGCCTTAAACCGTGATTTTTCTTCAAGTGTCATCGACGGCTACTTGTACTTGTTCGAGGCATGGTTCTCTGGGGCACGATCGTTTGCGACCTCACTGGCAGTCCATCTGTGAACGAAATTAGGAGCAGGATCCTGAAATACTATCCCAGAGCCCCAAACCCGTAGTTCGCCATCCAAGATATCCACAACGATTTTTCAACCTCATTTAGCAAATAAATGTATGGGATCGTTTAACGTCATGCTCAAAAAAGGCTTTAATAAGATACACTTAATTTGGAACGGCCTATTTTCGAGAAAACTGGAAACCTTGACGAAAGATGCTTAGCTGGGTAAACGAGACGGAAGAATAATGAAGCATAAACTAATGTGGAAGCAGCAAATGACAAACACTCTTTCCAACTCTAAAAAGAAAAAAATTTAAATAATCAACATTGATATCGTTTAATCTGTCCTCCAGAGACGGCCAAAAATCTTCTTTTCACAAGCAGGCCGTACTTTTCCCTGAGTTCACTCCAGAAGCCCTCTAGAGAGAAATTAATATAAACGCATTCCCTGACGTTTAGACATTTTGAAGTATAAGGGTATATTACAAATGAACTCCAGATTCCGGGGATATAAAAAAACAAGGCAATGCTTTCAGTGAATGGAACCCCAAGCGAGGTCTTGGCTTTCACTTTGCAAACGTCGAATACATTAAGGTTTAAACCGCGAGAGATATGTCCAAGTCTTAAGTGCAGCTTTAGTGTAGTTTGGATTCTAGCCTTTGAGAATATCGATAAAAATAGATAATCCATAAATTTAATGACATGGAGGGAATTCGATTGACGTGGATTGAGACCCGCTTGTAGCAGCACACAGCGCAGGCCAGATGGGACTTTCGAGACTGATCCGTTCGTTCATTTGTGTGCGTGTGTGGTCTGAACGGCACATAGTCTCTCAGGGAGGCACCCGTGTCGAAACCGGGATGTAGTTTTGTGTGGGATTGGGAATTTCTGGACTCTACTTTGCAATCAGAAAAAAGCGGTTGCATGACGGTCCAACCTCGCACTGATCTCCTTTCAAAAGTGCTAAACTTTCTTTTTTTATGAAGTATCAGAAGATCCGAAGCAATACAGTCACCCTGCATGACGATCACGCCGAAAATTCTATCAAATTCGAGGCCACAATCTGCTACAACTTTCATTCTCTCTTGCAATTAGAGCCTTAAACAGGGATTAGGGGAATCCTAGGTCAGAAGGCTTAAAATAGTCGGGAAGGAGATAACAGCGGGAATTCAATTGATCTCCTTTTATGGCCTGCCGACTGTTCTAAATCACTGTTTCGACTCGTATTTAGTGAAGAGCTTGTAGTTTGCATAGTTTCCTACTCCGCGATAAGTGACGACCAAATGCTTTCTGCCGATCTGGGGTAAATTCTGGGATTGCCAGTTTGAGATAGATAATTTTCTGGGTTCGCAATAGCAACAATATTTCACACCCCTCTCTCCCCAGACTGGCATAAAAACTATTTCCGTTTTCTGAAACATGCAAAGAGTCTATATACCCTTGGATAATCTAGACGCTGGCCCCGAATGCATCCATCGATAATTCGAAAATCAACGGTTAAACTTCAAAGAAAGAAAAAGACATTAAAAATAATATTGAGTGTTTTTAACAAAGAGCGTATTTCAGTCACAAGTCGTAGATTCTGAAATTTCCCTGGCTAGTGGCCGCGTGACGCACTGCAAGTCTGACTGGTGAGGCCGTTTGCTGAAGAAAAATCGTAGCAGATTTAAAACGTTTTGCGATTACTGACATAATAATTGTAAAACAACATCGTTCCTGACCATTTCGTAACCCTCACCGATCACAGTTTCATCTAAAAGCCAATGCTTTCACAGTCTAACTGATGTAAGTTTGAGAACCCGCAGATAACAGTCTTGTTTTTTTTAATTTTAAACAAAACCGCATCCTTTATGCAGATTGTTGCGAAACATTTCAAGAGAAAGTGAGATATGGACAGGAAAGGCTACCTGCTTTTGGAATATTATCGGTAAAAGTGACTTACAGTTTTGCAAAACTAAAGTTTAACTGTTGTGTACTTGACAAACCCTACTTCTGAGAAAAATTTTTGATTTCTGGAGCAAGGATTTTATTCGCCCGATGTTTCAGATTCACATACAAACGCAAATGCTCAGGAAGAGCAGCAGGAGAGAGTGAATGCAAAAACTTTTGGCAAATAACACTTACATTCTTGCGATCGAGTTTCCTCATTTCCAACTGCATCCCCCCCCAGAAACCGTTTTTTTCGCTCAAATCGGTTCTGATTCTGTCAGTCTGTATTAGTACTGGCGCAGAATGGCGTGATTTTTGCTCAGAACAAGGTAAATATTTTGCTCAAACGAGACGCTGAACGCTGAACGTCATGAATTTGCACTTGGGGCTTTCGGTTATTGGGCACGTCAAAGACATGAGAGAACCCATTTATGCAGATGTCTACGTCGTTCTCTTATTCCATTTGAAGACTTTATGAATTCAAGTATACTTTAAAGAAATCCTTCATTAAAGCCCTCTTTCATGAAATCCGTTTGTTGCAAATGATGTCTTTATTAAAGGTTTTCTCCAACAGAAGCATATCAATGGTTATAGTGGAAAAACGACGAAGACTGCATATGTAAGTTCACTGGGAAAATAAAGCCCAGAGACTGTTGTAATAAGACAAGGATGTTTGGTTTTATCAGCAGAGCAGATGGATGAAGTAATAAACAGAATCTGCTGAAGGCATCGTGAAGACTCACATTTCTGTCATTTGTTTGTGTGTTTGTTTGTATCGGGAGGGACCGCGCAATCTGTAGATGCGAATTATGACCTACATATTTCATCGTTGCCGGAAAACCACTGAGGTCGCAAAATAGTTGGCTCAAATGTACTACTGCCTACATTAGCCACACGTTGGAGGAGATGAGGAAGCATAATAGTCACAAAAGCCGCCGAAAGTGGTTATATTTGCGTCTCACTGCGTGAAACATACTACGAAGTGGACTACCAACATCTGCAATCTGTTCCACGGGGCTGTTTTGATCCCCTGATCAAACGGTTGTGAAGCGGTTTCGAACAGTCAAAGAATAAGTGTCACAACATTCAGAAGACTGTCTTTTGTCCTGCCCCGAACACGGTCACCCGCACGACACCTGGATTAAACGTTTCTGCGTCGTCTTATATCCTTTTGTTAATAGTTCTGTCTTGCTTTATCTTTAATGGTTCATTTTGTCAGATGCAATTATGTATTCGCACCTGAGGTGAACAAAAACCAGTTGCCTGTAATACGGGACCAGTGGTGGTAGGGGTTTCTGCAGGTGGGGCCGGAGAAAGCACGGGCGATGAGTATGAAAAACATAAAAGCTATTGGGGAAGCGCGGTTGTACTTTGAGTGGTTTATAAATAGTGGCCTAACCCCTAGCCTTAACCCCTAACAGTATTGTGTCCATCAGGTACGGCTGCATAACCACATCTTACCGTTCCGTTGATTTCGCTGCTTCGGCTGCATCATATATGCAGGCCGAAAAGCTTTCCTTCGTCCTGTATGTTGGCGGTCGGAGCTTTTTCGCCGATTCAACGTTAGCAGGAGAACCGAACTGGTCACTTGACTTAAACGCTTAGACTGGCCTTATTTATGAACCTATGCCTGTTTATTTAGACATAATATATCAGAAGAAGAAGCGATCGCTGGAATAATGGCTTTATTCGCCTGGCGTTTCGGATTCTCTCTTGAATCCATCATCAGGGACAGTTGCAGAAAAGGGTGGCTCGTGTACAGGATGTCGCAGTATTTATAGGATGCGGTCGCCATGCTACCGCATACCTACAGCAATTAGCCGTACTCCCTTCATCAAGGATTGTTGCCCACTGGTGCGCAAATGGCTTGATGACTGGCATGCAAGTTGTTAATTGCTGACATCTCATCACCCGTGTTGGATGCTGGCGTGATGATTGCTCGGCCATCTGGCTCACCGGCTTGCGCGCTCCTCGAGTGGTCAATTGCCTTGGCCAGTCTATGCCTCAGCACAGAATATGGAGTGGGGATGTCGTTGCACTTGTTGATAGACTGAGGTCTCGTGAACCATGACTCAAGCAACTCGCGGCTCACGCGATCATTCCCTCTCGCGAGAATTTCGGCCTCATTGAACTTGAATGTGTGGCCGGGTCTCGTCGAATGGGCCGCGACCTGAGAGTTGGCGTCATTTCCCCGTACAGCTGCCACGTGTTCGGCGATTCGCGTCCGGAGCAGTCTTCCAGTTTCTCCGACGTAGTTGCTTTGCCCGCAACTGAACCAGATCCGGTAAACGACTCCAGATGTTTCTTGCCGTGGCAGTGGGTCTTTTGGTCTTATCACTCGACGCCTCATGGTGGCCTCCGGTCTGTGCGCAACTCCAACCCCAAGTGGTGCAAGAAGGCGACTAACGGCCTCGGAGACGTTCTTGATGTACGGGATCGCTCGCCAGAATTTGGGGTCGGCGCGATTTTGTCGTTCGTCTCGTTTGCGCATGCACCGGTTGACGAAGTTGCGCGGGTAACCGTTTTCTCGGAAAACCCGTTAAAGATATTGGGATTCGAAAACCTTGTCTTCCGGTTCACTGCAGTGCGTCTCAACACACCGAAATAGCGTTCTTACGCAATTGCGTTTGTGGCAGATTGGGTGGTTACTGTTGAAGTTCAGAATTTGCGTAGTGTTCGTTGCTTTTTTGAACACTTTGGTCTTTAGGCCACCACAATCTTTGCGACAGACGTGGACATCAAGGAATGCCAGCTGGTTATTCTCTTCCTCCTCCATAGTAAATTGTATGTCCGGGAAGACGCTGTTGAGACGTTCTTTGAACGTTAGCACCTGGTCCCATTCGATGACGACGAAGGTATCGTCCACATACCGGGCCCAGAATTTCGGTCTGTGGTGTTGGAAGACCAGCGACTCAAACCGCTGTAGGACCGCCTCGGCAATGAATCCCGAAATCGGCGAGCCCATTGGTGTTCCCTTCACTTGCTCGTAGATTGTTCCGTCAAACGTGAAGTACGTCCTGCGACTTTCTGTACACGAGCCACCCTTTTCTGCAACTGTCTCTGATGATGGATTCAAGAGAGAATCCGAAACGTCAGGCGAATAAAGCCATTGTTCCAACGATCGCTTTTTCTTCTGATTAACTAGTTCCTGGAACTCGCATCTTCGCTTGTATCGGCAATTAGACATAATATTTTACTAAATTGTGGATATATCCGGCTTTGGTGGTTAAGCATGCCACAGAACCGACCATGGCCAATTTTGAAACGTGGTTCGACTCCTATGGGCAGTTTCCTGCAGCTCTATGAATGGCCATTTTGCGTTTCCCGGCAAAATTAAGCAACTTGCACCCTTACATAGGGGGGCGTCCGCTGAAGTCAATTCAAACACAACTGGTAAGGGAGTGATGCTGGTATTATAAATAGTAGTTGTCTGTCTCACTTAAGCGTAGCCCATAAGACAGAAATACTTTAAACGCAAACAATTCTGAAGTCTGTTTGATTAAAAGTGGTGATTTTTTCTACCAGAGATTTTTTCTAAGGGCCGAAATTCCTAAGTATTCCAAATTTATTCCTAGGACGCAACGTTCAACTTCTGTCCGAGGAAGGCATATCTCTGAAGTAGATTTAAATCGCGTAAGTTTTTCGGGGGTTGACTCGAAAATTCTGGTTATTTCTGACAGTGGACGAAAGAATTTACTCTGGATTTATCAACACAGTTAGGGCCCGGTGGTACACTGTGGAGTATCACTGTGGTAACTGTGGAGTTCTCCAAGGTTCCATTCTTTCCCCTCAACTCTTCTCTCCAGTTAAGCATGCAGACGATGGGTTGTTGGTCACCCTCTCAAAAATCAGACTAGTTTCCAGTCTCTGAGCGGGGGCCTTGAACACGCCTTTGTATGGTCGCAGGAAAGTGGTCTCCTATTGAATAATTAGAAATCCGTCCAGTGTATTTTCCGACTGCGACCCTCTCCTAGCCATGAATCCTTGGACATGCTTCCCAACGTGGTATCCTTTTAGCCGTACCTTGGTGTTAAGTTGTCATCAAATCTTTTTTTTTCCCCCGCATTGAGACCCTTGTCACGAAAGTGCTTTGTCTTACGGAAAATTTTGCGAAGAGATAGGAGATGATAAAGGAAAATGGAATAATAGGGATTTGGATAACTGCAGTGGGTGACCGATCTCACGAAATGTTGGCCGAAATTCTAAAATGCATTTTCGATTAAGAGGGATTACTTAGGTAGAGTTGTAATATTGATTATTATGCGACATAATCCTATAACGTTTCGGACTTACCTGAATATCGACTTTTGAATGCTCTTCCTTTTGACCTCCCGCAGAAACCAAACTCCGTAAAAAGTGACTACTTATTTAGCATGCCTTTTTTCACATTGATTTTCGGTTGTCTTACAAATACAAATATATTTTATGGAAAACATGCACAAAATATCCCTTTTTCTACTCGTTTGGTAGACAATCACATTGTCTTCACATTTTAAACCATAATAAAGGTTATCTTCTGGTTTTATAAGAATTTTCTTATTATGAGATTTTTATGACCGTGAAATGTTCATTCATATAGCATCGTACCTGTCCGTGTGTCAATGCTTCTTATGAAATGTACAACATAATCGGGTTCTACTCGTCTGGCCTCTTTGACGCGAATAGTCTCATGCGGCGTATCAATCCAGCCCAGACGATGTCAGTTGTGAATCCCGTATACAATACCACATGCAGGCCAGTCCTGTCTGACCCGCATACGTACGCCTCAAGGCTGAGATTTATTGCTACCCTGACGATGACCGACAACAATCCGTTATATACCGCCACCTACAGGCCAGTTCTGCTCGCTTTTTTGTGTCATTATTTTTATTGAGGGTTTTTTTCTCCTGTAAAATAAATCCAATTATTTTTAACTTTTTGTATGGAGTTTTTTTCACCCCTCGCTTATCATGTTTCTCAATGGACTACTAATTCAGAAACTATGAATTGCATTTTGTAAAGATTCTGCCTACCTCGTCTAAAATTCACATGTAAATTTATTTTAACTTGCTTTGATGGGACCCCGACGGGTCTTTAATAAAAAATTATCTTATCTTATCTCATAATCCGCATCCACTACAAAATTTTATGAACGCTACATGATACTTTCTAAACGGGATGGAGATTCTTCTTACACGGAACGCATGCAGCTTGTAGACTGAAATCACTTACCGCTGATGCAACGGCTGATCAGCTTAAACATTATTCGGGAATTAGGAAACTTCTTCAAAACCTAAATATACACTTTTTGAGGTATAAAATATAAAGAAAATATGATTATCTACCAAACAAGTAAAATAAAGCACATTTTTGTGAATTTGTGTTGTAAAAATATTTTGATTTATAATATCATCGAAAATCAATGTGAAAAATGTGTGCTACATAAGAAGTCACTTTTTGCCGACTGCGGTTTTTGTAGGAGGTCGAAAATAAGCATATTAAAAAGCCGAATATCCTGGCGAGTCCGAAACATTATAGGATTATGTCACATGATCATCAGTATTGCAGCCCCCCTTAGGTAATGCTTCGTAATCGAAAACATATTTCAGAATTTCGGCCAACATTTCTTGAGATCAGTCACTCACTGTATTTCAGCAAGAATTAGGGAGATCTGGAGAACACTTGATTGAGTAAACGAATTTCAACGCAGAGTAAATATTGTTTTGAGACTAGAAATGATCCTTTCAGTGACCCATACATCGGGTAACTTGGCTTCATTGGAAGTAAGATAAGGAAGATGTATTAAAATTGTATATGCCGTGCGAACGCAGACTGGTGGGGGAGTGGGGGAATGTTAGAAAGTATCAATTCATGGAAATTTCGAAGAAGCCTCCTAGCCACATTCGTCAAAGCTGAATAGAATGGACGCGATAACAGTAGTACTTCATCCAAAGTAAATTCGAGCTCTTTAAAAAGACCAGTCCCTAGTCGTTGCTAACGTTATCGGACCGGAGTTAGACACTGAAATGCGGACCCCCGTATCACAGGTTGCTTTGCATTAAAGTCTAGAACGACGCCTATACCCCTGTACCAGCTTTAAGCCTTACCTGCCAGGCCCTAACACGAAGCCCAAGTACGACACTAACCCTAATCCGAACCCTCTTTGGAATTTAGCGCAAAGTCGCTTGTAATAAGGGGATCCATATCCCCGTGTACTGCCCGGTTAAGTGACACGCGCTGTTTAGAATCTCGAAATTCCTGCCTGCTACGTCCAACAGGCCTATCTGGTTGAGATTTAAAGGAACGTGCATGGGATTACCTCCAGGGAATGGCTTACGGGATGCCGGAAATGCTGGTGTTGTCGCAACTCAACCCCGTTCTTCTCAGTTTCTTTACCTTGAAAAAATGAAAATACCTCCCTTGTCTCCTCGACTGCATGTACAAACGAGTTTGAGCGGTAATTCTGCACACTTTTTGGCCTGTCCTATACTAATGCATAACCTACGTTTCCTTCTGGTATTTGTTTACTTTAATTTATAATATGCCAGCCAGAAAGGAGTCGGGTGAGAAAACATTGCGTCCACTTGATTCCTGTTGACTTAGCATAGTTTACCGACACGTCTGCTTGTCGACCAACGGTGTTTATAATAGGCAAAAAAGTCTTGATAATAAGGCAATGCAAACATGAACATCTGAAAAATTGAGTTTAAATATTTCCACTATTAATTGTCCTGAAAATACTGGGACAACGCATTGCTGGCTGTTAAAGTAGAGTAGGGAAAGTGGATGAAGAGAGCCGCACTTCTGTAGGCATCTACTTGACGAACACGCAATTTTGCATCAGATACCTATCTGTCCGCAATTTATACAACGAAACATGTTCTACTTACTAAGTTATAGTAGCCGTGCATCTAAAGGAACATTTTAGTGCGTGGAGGCTGTTTAAAGGTGTAGGCTACACATCTTTAGCCTAGCTCATTAAAATTAAGATCCTTTAGTTCGTTTGGAGACAGGCAGCTGACAAGAAGTTTTAGTTTATTTTAACGGACTGACCGAATCAGAAATAAACTGAAGTAAACCGACGACTGGTGATGGTAGTAATCTGGTAGTCTGGCTAAGACAAGTCGAATAGGGAAGAGAAACTCTAAGAAACCAGAAACACCCATTACAGCCTTCTCCGTCTTTGTGGGCAGTGATGTTCAAGTGTCTGTTTCTTGTAAAATTTCGCATTAATTTTCCCGAATTTTCATTGACGTCCTCCCACAATCTCATGGAATGAGTTGGAGTATTCTTAAAGTCGTTTCTGTACAGAACTTTTAGTATCGCTGTGTCATGCAACGATTCCCAATTGCAGTTCGGGCAAATATTCTAATTAACGGCCAAAGGGAGGTTGTCGAAACGACCATTACAAGGCTCTCATTTGGACAACCAACAAAGAAAGCTACTATGGGTGACGCTTATTTCATACTCCCCACAGAATACTAGCTATGTTTAAATGATAGATGGTGTTTTTTATTTTTTGGTCCTAAAATGCACGATTTAAGCCAAAACTTTGTAAACAATAGTGTCTATAAACGTAAACTGTTTGTGAAATAGTTGCGTAAAGTTGCTCAACAGAGCCTTGAGGATATTTATTGAAAAATTCCCACAGGCCACATCGTCCCTAATCCTTCTTGAAATTTCGCGGGTGTTTAAGAGGGTTTTCCCTTGCATATTTTTCAGCAGATAATTACTAACCGAAAAAATCATCATCTAAGTAAATACCTTGCAAATTTACTGAGAAGAATGACAGGAGTTAACTGGACGGGGAGTTGTATTTCGAACAGTGAATCAAAAGTTTCTTTTTGGACACACAATTGAGGAACCATGAACTATATCTTTGTTCCGCACAAATAGGGACATTTGGTAAGCGAATACACCAGCTCCCGGTCGACTTATTTTTTTGCACCATTTATCAAATTATCAAATCAAATTATCAAATAAATT